CGGACACGTTATGAATGCCAACCATCTCATGTTATACTGAAACATTACGGATACTACTGAAATGTTCCCGCTTAGATGTTGTGCGGAACAGCGCTTGTGATCACTCACACGATCACAGATGGCCTGGCTGTTACAAACGCCCTTCGTGTACCCACGACTACACTTTTTAAAGGAAAACGAACCGATTAACAGTTAGCGATCTTAGTCTACAATGCCACCGGGTGAGCGTTTCTGCTCTATGGTTGAGGGACTTGGACTGCTCGCGCAAAGGATGTTGAGAGACTGTCTGATTTTGATCACTGCTGTCTTCGGAGCATTTCTGGTGTACGACGGCAATATCACACTAGTAATGAGGATGTTCGACGGAGGATTTTCGGATCAGATAGACTTTGCCGGATAATGGGCAGCATAATTACTCTGAGCAGACTTCTTCGCATGCCTACTCCTTGTTTACCTCGCCGTGCCCTCTTCGCGCGCGCAGAAGTCGACCGGAAGCGAAAGCAAAGTGGTCAACATATGATTTGGGCCACGAGCATGAAGGAGCTAATGTCAAACTTAGCCGTAGTCAGGCGCTCTCAACTCCCTGGCCGAGGTGTGAAGGATCAGAAACACACATGGCTAGAAACACCTTCGGATATGGCAAGAAACCGTACGTAATGACGGACCTGTTGTGACTCTCTATTTCTATGAACACTGGTTTATATTCCTCCCTCTCTCTTCGTTTGTTTAATGTTTTTCCCATGCGTTGTACTATTGGCCGTCTTGAAAAAAATATATAGCATATTGTTCGTGGTACTTTGATAGTTCGTCATATACTACGTCGCATCTGTTACCACCTTCTATGGCTACTTATTACATTTGCTTCTGGCAGTTCTATGTTATCTCATAGCTGACAGAACATTCGGTTGCGTTCTTCTGTGACGCCTCTCAGAGGGTCTCAAGATTTCTTTTACGTTTTCAGGTTAGTGTAGCTGGATGTCATTGTCGCCAAGTAACCGCATATCGTGAGCGAACACAAAGCATATCGTATTGTCAGTTTTCGAACCTAATTTATATCATTCACATTCCCCGTTTATGTGGCTCGAACAGGCGACATTGTTGTCAGCTACATTGCTGATCTTCCTAAAACAAGTGTTTTCCCGAAAGTCTCCGTTTGTTGCTTGCACATTGCATCAACCTTAAGTCACGGGTTTATTTGGGCAGTAGAAACTCGGAGCACTACTTACCTTTATGCACCAGCGTCCCGAATATTTAGGTAGAAAAACCAACAACGGTCAACCGCGCCGGTCGACATTCTACCACACTTGACTCCTTTCGCTCCCTGTGGGCTCCTAGAGACCGAGAAACTCCTGCCTTTATACAAATTCTCAGGGCCTTTTCAGTAAGCTGGCCGAACTGAAGGACCGCCAAATTTCGAAGCCATGCGAGATTATCGGTGTTACGGAGACATGATTGCACACTGGGATGACAGATACTGAAGTTTTGCTGCTGGGCATGTCACTCATACGAAACGACAGGCTTACGAAAGGTAGAGGGGTAATTCTGTATTACCGAAGCGACCTACAGTGCGAGACTGTGGACGATTCAGCCTTACAGTTCGCCGATTCTCTTTGGTGCCGCCTGCAATTACATGGCAAATACCCCAACCTTATAGCTTTGGTATACCGCCCCCAAATTCAACATCGGAAGTGGACTCCCAACTTGCGATAGCTTTAAGATACAGACTAAAGCGAAAGCACACTCACATCCTTATCATGGGTGATTTCACTGCACACTGTTTAGTAACTCCTGCTACAATCGGAGAGACATTCAAAGCAGATCTGCAAGTGCTTATAACCAGTGTTCCACTTTACAATCACATCATTACGCCCACTCGTTTCAGAACAGGTAATAGACCTTCTTTGTTGGATCTCGTTTTCACCAACGAGGAACCTATGACTGATGTATTGATCGTAGGAGGCCCTTTGCGTCACAGTGATCATGCACTCATCAGTCTCGACTTTATCTGCTATGCGGAATATCACAACCAGAACCCTGAGTTGGTGCGCACCATTACGCGCCACGACCACTTAGCCCAGCTCGTCAGTGCCACAACCTGGTCGTTCCTCACTGAAAGCCAACCGAAAGTCGCTTGGCTTGAGTTCGTCGGCAAATTCAAACAACTGGTTACGGATGCCTCAGAGACAAAGGTTTTCAATAGGCCTAAAACCGTTTCTTTCGTGAGGAGCAGAACTAAAAGATGGACAACTATACGCAACGCAGCCTGGCGAGTGTACAGATCATCACCAACGCCAGATAATTGGGACAACTACGTAGCCCATCGTAACCACTACACTCAAATGCTCAGAGATGACAAAGTCCCATATCAGTTGAATATGGAGAAAACTTTCGGCGCTAACCACAAACTGCTGTACAACTATGTCAATGGACGTCGTAAGCTGAGGCAGGGAATTCCTCCTCTCCAGACGACTGATGGTCCGACTAGAAGAGCTACCGAAGTAGCAAACGCGTTGCAGACGCAATATGCACCCACATTTCAGAGGGTCTTACAATCATACCATCTTACAACTTTTGTTTTCCCGCCTCCAGGACTCCCCCACATCTCTTTTACTGCGGAAGCTGACGTCTGCGCAACTACAGCCCCCGGGTGTCGACACCATTCTCCCAGAGGCACTGAGAACAGCAGCAAAACATGCGAAACCTTTGGCACAGTTCTTCCAGCCCTGCTTAGACCAGAACCAGGTTCTTGCGATGTGAAAACTGGGAATAATAATTCCGATTCACAAAGGCGGAAGCAGAACTGTGCCCTCAAACTACCGCCCAGTGTCCCTTCTCCCTGTACTATCCAAAGTCATGGAATCTATTGTTGACGATGCGTTGCTGTGTTATCTATCAAATTGTAGCATTATTGCTCCCGAGCAACACCGCTTTCGTCGACGGCGTTCATGCACGACAAATTTATTAATCGCGCGGAGTAGTTGGACCGAGTCAGCTGACACTGGAGAGGTCGTTGATGTGATCTACTTGAATTTGTCAAAGTTGTTCGATCGTGTAGATTATCGGGTTCTGCTTTCCAAGCTACCGTTTTACGGGATTGGTGACGCTCTCTTGAGCTGGACCGCCAACTTTCTCCTGTAACAACAATCAGTGGTGAGAGTCCGGAGTTCCCCATCTGAACCCATACAAGTCGAGTTTGATGTGCCCCAGGGCTCAGTTCTAGGTCCACGGTTGTTGTTGGTATTCATCAATGACCTGGCACGAAATGTCGCTTCAAATTTCCTGCTGTTTACTGCCGATATCAAGATATGGCGCCGGATTCAGGCGGATGACGATCAGAATTTACTTCAATGTGATCTAGATACGATACATGCTTTGTCAATTGGAAATGTGTTCCAGTTCACTGTGGACAGCTGCAAGGTACTCACCATACGACATCAGATTACCTATTCCCACAAGCTAGGAACGCAATTTGAACGCGACCTTGGCTTCTTTGTTCAGGATAACTTGGGTTGTTCCACACAATCCACAAAGGCCTCGTAAATTGGTAACTAGTACGTCGGCTTGCTACGACAGACGTTAGGACAACTAGACCACTATTTTCATACAGATGCTGAATGCGTATGTTCCTCACCATGTCGGATACGCAATCCAAGCTTAGCAGCTATGACTGAAGCACGACCTTACTGCATTGGATCAACCACAACATCGGGCTTCTAAATACGTCATTGGAATGCGCCACCTTCCGTACGAGCAGAGGCTGAAACGTTTGGGAGTATTCAGCGGGCGGTATCGTCGACTACGAGGCGACTTGATTATGACGTATTTGGTTGTACACAATCCAAACCATGTGTGCCGCTCTTTACTGCAACTCAGCAGTAACACCAAGCTTAGAGGCCACTCCTTGAAATTAGCTGAAAAGTACAGCCGCCAGGCCTGCCATAGAAATTTCTTTTCTATTCGTGTATGTCAACCATGGAACGCTCTCCACGAATCTGTTGTTTCAGCACCCACAATAGCCCGTTCTAAAACTCGGTTGGATGACGCACTCCGCCACTTTCATTTTTTTACTTGACGCTACTCTCCATCCCACTCCCGGAAAATACTTTGGATTTACTCTTTTTCGCCTATTGAAGCTATGAAAACGTTCGGGGTGCAGGCCCACTGAATCAAAAACGATAAATCCATTATTTTAACAGTAAAACTACTAACTGCTTTTTCATTAACGTTTTTTGCTAATCCAGCAGACCACCCAATGGGGTTGTAAGAAATGCTTCTTAACCCGTATAAAATCATTGTTGCTCTACCATATGACGTTACCTGGTTCGTGCCCCGTATTGAATGTGTCTTAAAACCGTCTGAATGATCATTCGGAAGTTCTGCCAGACTCCGTATCGCCTGTGCACCTTGTGGTGACACTGGCGGTAACATTCCAAGTTACTTAGCTGCTCACTGGGAGGTGTTTGAATATTGTCCACACAGCGCTGTTTTTCATCTGCATAACTGTCAGGTTAAGTTTAATCGATACCATCATTGTCTTCAACTTGTGCAAATCACCCAATTTATTGTGTCCGCCCTACTCAGTCTGCGAGCTCCGTCACCGTATACGCCGTTCACAATATTCCTAATCGAACATAGCCTCAAAATACGTGAAAGGGTAAAACGCAGTTTCACGCAGGCATCTCACCTGAGTACATTTCAAATCATTGCATATTTGCACACGTATTGCACACGGTCAGTCAACGTTCTCCCGATCAGTTGATCATTTGCATAGACCGTCCAAACTTTCAGCGTAAGACCGTGTCACCTAGTCATTTGGAGATCACAGTTTTCGTCCCGACAATTATGCTGAGTTCGCTTGTGGCCCCAGGATGGTTGTCCAACATTTGGTGTAGAGTGGACATTTGCAACACATCTGGCACGTCCTTGTTAGAAATTTATTAGGGCATAAATTTTATTGACGGACAGTAATCATTTGACGCTTTTGGTATTCTTTTTGACAGATGCACATGGCTTAACCTGGCGGTCTACCTTGCCCTCAGTTTGTTTCCAGCCTGTACGATTTTGAACATGGTAAGTTATTTTCTTCTTCTCAATCTATTGGAAGTTATTGCCTTATACATTTATGCACACCGATCGAATACCTTATCTTTAGTGCTAGTGTAAGTCAACTGGCCCCCATCCCCGCGGTGAAATAATTTGTTGGTTCTCAGCCAGCTACTCTTCTGTGTATTGCGCGTGGCGGACCAAACTAGCTGCGCATTGCATTTGTCGTGAGGCTAATCAGACCTGTGGTCCGCATTTTACTCTAGCCGAATCGCCATTAATTGCGAGTACTGTGATTTTACAAAGGAGTAGTAGGGAGTTTGAATGGTGTAATTAGCGATACCTCACATCTTGGCTTAGCCAGATATCCATCACACGTTCGGAAAAGCACGGTGTGGCTGTTTCCTCCTTTCAGGAATCGTCAGTAGTGTCAAGTCTAGTCAGTATGAGCTTTATGTATGCAACTTATGTATCCAGCTTTATGTTATCCAACTGATCGGTCCCACTTATGGGGCCGTGTACTGTCTGTCGGGAAATATACAAATTAATTACTTAATTTTATTTATTTGTTTTCAGCACTTCTCATTATCAACTGTAAATTTACCAACTGTTTGCCCTTACTAATGCCCAGTTTATAAATGGGTAGAAAAATGAGAAGGATGCACTGTCATAGATCGATCGAGCAACGATCCCAAAAGGCTAAACTAAATCTTTGAGCTTTGTATACATTCAAGACGGAAAACCTTACATAAAATTGTTCTTCAGAATTCGCTTCCATTACCGCATAATGTTTTGTCCACAGACACTAGATCGGAGCTCATGCGCGATATTTCGCTTTTATATCCAGTTGGACTGAGTAAGGGGTTTCAGTGACCTTGGAAGTTGATTAGACAACATATCTATCAGCTTCATTTTGCAAAACTAAGAGATATACAGTAAGTTCGCCGCACTTAGACGCAGGCAGACAGTCACCACACATTCAGAAATACGCTAGATGGCCGTTTCGTCCTATCGGGACTCGTCAGTAGCGCGCACCCGCCGAATCCTGCCGGATTCGAACCCACGACCTTACTCTTGCGAGTCAGCGACTTATGTCACTGAGCCATGAGCGACGGCTGCGGACCGCCATGACTGATATCTAACTGCGATATAGCGCGGCTCATCCTCCACTGTCTTGCAAGTTATGAGTGTGCAGAGCACAGAGCTGGCCCCCAGAGCAACGACTTCCTTTGCAAGCCGCCACCAATCGAGGTGGTATGTTAGCTGCTAAGGCGCCTGCTGAATATTTGTAAGTTGTAGGGGGATTTATTAGGTTTTGTGTACGTTCGTCGCAGTTAGGCACAGGCAGACAGCCACCACACATCCAGGAAAGCGCTAGCAACTTATATGCCACCTCAGTTCGTGGCGGCTTACAAAGGAAGTCGTTGCTCTGGGGGCCAGCCCTGTCCTCTGCACACTCATAACTTGCAAGGCAGTGGAGGATGAGCCGCGCTATATTGCAGTTAGATATCAGTCATGGCGGTCCGCAGCCGTCGCCCATGGCTCAGTGACATAAGTCGCTGGCTCACAAGTGTAAGGTCGTGGGTTCGAATCCGGCAGGATTCGGCGGGTGCGCACTACTGACGAGTCCCAATAGGACGAAACGGCCGTCTAGCGCTTTCCTGGATGTGTGGTGGCTGTCTGCCTGTGTCTAACTGCGACGAACTTACACAAAACCTTATAAATCCCCCTACAACTAACAGGTATACAGTAAATAACGTGAAAATGATGTTCACGGAAAGGCCAGTGGCCGATTTGAAGGCCCCGCCATTCCGTCTGACACCTATGGAGCTCGAACCTGCAACTCGACTGTTGTCAGTCCTGGGTTGAGGCCACTGAGCTACGGGGGGGGTGACGGTAAAATTCGTCGTGACTATTCCTAGATGTCACACAGTGTCGCCGACGATTCCCGAAAGGATAAAACAGCCATACAGTGCTTTTCTGGGCGTGTGATGGCTGTCTGACTGAGTTTAGATGTGACAAATTTCTACCTATACCATTCAACTTTCCCTACTACTGTAATCAGTACGTAGGCCAAACTGTTTCTAATGCCATAAGTCAGTTTGTAGTTCACTTTAAGTAATTTCGTCGTTTTGTGTGGGTATTTGCCTGTTCTCCGCACGGCAGTAACATTCAAGTCAGTGGATAGTGAGCGGTGCTATATCACATTTAGTAACTTAGTCAGGACGTTCGTTAACGTCACCCCAGGTAGCTCCGTGGTGTCAACCGCAGGCTGGTAACACTAGAGTTGCGGGTTCGAGCTTCACAGGGGTAAGCTGGAATGCGCTCTGCAACACTGGACTTACTGTTCTCCTGCGGTTTTTCCTCTTTTATTGTAAAACTTCTGGAACTTCTTACTAGGTCGTTGAAGTAGTTGTCTCACTTCGGTGGCATTTCAAAGCTGATTTTGGCTCAAACAATTGTGTCTACGCCCGTTAATTCCTGCACAAACCTTGTCTTTAAACTACTCACCGACTTTAGCCACCCTCATCACAGTGCACTGTAAACCAGGTGAAAGTATAGAAGAATACATGCCTGCACACGGGTATGTGGTTCGTCGATCATTCCCTATCTATCCAGCTTCCTATTAACCAAAACTGTTTTATCCAGGGACTGACCGGTGAATTCTTCTAGTGTGCTTATGTCATTAATTTAACTTTTTCTAAGTTTAAAGGATTATATCTTAGACCTAATATTCACCACGCGCGCACGTACCGGGTATCAACATAAGATGCTTCTTTTCTCTCGGTACACGTTCAAGCTACAGTATCCGCGTTCTGACTTGGCCATGAGTGTCTACTTGTAAGTAACTTGTGCCAGATATGTGCTTGCGGACTCCAACCCAATCGCAGTCCCATCTGGCATACATCCCGGACTAATTTCTCCAACTTCGCACAGGTCTTGTGCGATTGGTGCGTTAGTTTAGCTCAATCTTGGCCCCTTCTTGGGTGCATAAGTCCTACGATTTCCAGTTAATGACAAACCTTCCTACAGAAGCCGTAAAAGATGATATGGTGTCACTGGTCACCCGTCAGAGCACCACCCCCCCAATCGCATTGGGGCCAATTTACAACATGGATGCAGACATGTAACAGACAGGTAAAGCATGTTCGTGGAGAATTTCATCCGTCATTGACAGTGGGTCATCAATCGTGTTCCGTAGTTAACTGAACGATGCCAGTAGCACCCTATATGATATATGTTAATTCCTATCCGTGGTCCGAGTGGCATTTTACCCTCCGTGAGAAATTGCGTTACGGAGTCAAACCACCACACGGACTCTTCATGATCTGAATGGATGATGCAATAAGTCACTCTGCGACCATCCTTCTCACAGATTCTTCAGCTGAATCACTCTGACATGGAAAATGGCTCACGTTTTACAAATAAAATTGTTGAATCGTGACTGTGTGCACTCCAACACCAAGTAGGTGATAATCGTGAAGGCATCATCGTCCGATATCCGCAATACCCATAGGTATTCGTACGAAAATTGGTTTCTCGCTGCTAGCCTCTTATGGAAAAAGGGATGCGATAGTGGCTCGTAGTGCTTAAGTAAACCATCATCATCTTCATCATACACGTTAGCTAGAGGTGGGGAAGACTTCAGCTACTGTGCCGCAATACATAGAAAAAAGGAGAAAAAAAGCAACTGGTGCAAGCTGGCTGAGCTACCGGTAACGGATGGGCATCGTTCCGGTAAGCTACCAGCCGGCTGCTGTGCACCCAAAAGAAAAAAAAATATTATGAAAATTATATAAAGCTAAATAATGAGATCGCGGTTGGAGGGGGAGGCTAAGAGGGATGGGGTGGGACAAAGAAACTCACAGCACGAACGCCACTGAGGTCGGCTCCTTGCCATATCAGCAAGTGTGTCCAACCAAACGTGTTCATCGTCTTTCGGACCCCAACCAGGGAGCCGAGACGCTCCAACCGAGGCCAGCTCAGAAGTGAGGGACTTCATTCCTCTGGACCAAGTCATCGCTTGGCCACCCCTCCTCTTCTTCCATCCACACCCCCGGCGCGCAAACAACGCACGTCGCGGGAGTCGGTTGGCTGGCACGCGTAACACGTGGCCGAGCCATCGGAGCCTGATGCGTGAAATAACGGTGCTGAGCGGTTCATTTTCTTTTCCTGTGCCATAAACAAGGCGTCGAACACGCTCGTTGCTCACGCGGTGTTCCCACCAAATGTGAGCTAAATTACGAAGGCAGCGGTGGTCGAACGTAACTAACCTCTTCAGGTCCGCTGCTTTAAGCGGCCAGGTTTCACAACCGTACAATAGGGTCGAACGTACTGCTGCATTGTACACTCTACCCTTCAGGGTGAGAGTGATGTCGCGCCGGCGCCATAAGTGGCGAAGGTTAGCAAAAGCGCCCCAAGCTTTTGCTATACGATTCGTGATTTCATCTTCAATCCCACGGACGCTGATACAACTTCCCAGGTAGTTGAATTTTTGAACGACTTCTAGCTGATCCCCACCAAGACTGAGCGTAGGAGGCGGTCCAAACCAATCTTGGAGAAACGCTTTGCACTTCGAGGGTGCGAAGCAAAGCCCGAAGTGACGGACAGCTAGTGGTAAGCTGTCCAGTGCCGCTTGGCACGTTTGTGAGCTGTCACAGATTAGGGCAATATCATCAGCATACTCTAAATCAAGAAGTCGTTCTCCTGGGAGTAGCTCCACACCTTCTAAGTCGTGTCCTGTAAACGCGATTTCCATGACTTCGTCAACAGCGAAGTTGAAGAGGAAAGGTGACAGCGGGCATCCTTGTCTCACGCCGCTGGAGATATTAAAGTGCGACGACAACTTGCCGTAAGCCCTCACTCTGCCCGAGCTACGCGCATATAATGCTCGGATAATATTCACATATTTCTCAGGTACACCTTTCCTGAGTAGACAGTCCCAAAGTGCAAGTCTATCCACCGAATCGAATGCACCTTTGATATCGAGGAACACGACAACGGTTGGCCGCCAATATATGTGACGGTGCTCCAACAACTGACGCAAAGTGAAGATGTGGTCAATGCAGCTACGACCTCGACGAAATCCAGCTTGCTCTTCGCGAATCTGGCTTTCACGAGTGCCAGTCAGTCTGTGAAGGATGACAGAGGCAAGCAATTTGGAGGCGATGGAGATCAGACTGATTCCTCTATGGCTTAAGTAAACCAAGATGCAAGAGGGTTTTCGCTCGGATAAAAAGCCCCTCCTTGAGACATACGGATCCAATTATCGAGTTGTCTACTGCACTCTCATGTCACTGCACTATCTTCTTCTCCTTTGAATTTATTTTTCACCCTAATTAATCAAACCGCCTTCTCATCCTTCACTTGTTTAAGTAACTAGCGCTGCTAAAAACGTTGTTTTTCTTGATTAGGTAAATCGCCCAGCGCTGTCAGGGAAGTTCTGTACTGGCGCACAGTTCTATACTAGTGAGGATACGTGCGATACTTCAGATATCTGGTTTGAGACCTCTACTTCCTGCTAACTTTGGGTGCCCCTGCAGTATTCCAACCCGCATGTGTTGGACAGAGAATCATCGGTTCACAATGCTGATGTACCAACCGATACCTGCTAAACCAGTTAAGTGGCTGTAGCAACTTGATAAGTAACAATGGAGTAATGGATTTATCACGGATAATAAAAACAATACGCTTTACGGTTTCCGTAGGTAAACAGTGAGACCAGAAATGGACATATCAATAAAGTGCATAGCAGTGGACTAATCGCAGATTTTGCGTGAACACCAGAGTCTGATTAGTTTCTCTCGTGTTAACTCATGTAATGCAACTGGTGTGCTCCATCGTCAACTCGAGTTTTGAATTTCATCAACGTAGGAGCGGAAATGGTCGAATCTGGAAGTAAGTTCTACAGTTGAGTTCCCTGGATGGAGAAAACGTTCCGATGGCATTCCAAACGGCCACATTGTGTCGACAAATCCAAATGGTGACTTCTCACTGATGTGTTGTGGCTGAGTTTCGATAAGGGTCAACATGAGTGGTTAGGATCTTTGAGGACCTGATACGCCAATACAAGGTCATATTTTCAGAAGACGATATCATTCACTGAAAACTCTTAGGGTCTTTGGTCTAAACTTATAAGGAATTTGGAGCAATCTTTTAACATATTTTGTCTTCCTTCGTTGTGGATTCGCAAGAACAGTAAGGTCATGTTTTTGCCAACGGTGCCACACCTGGATGACGTATTCTACTTGTGACCTTACGTAAGCCTTTTGTTTGTGGAAAAACGTAAGATCATACTGGTTAAACGCCCTCTGCAGCAGACCCTAGTGTTGGCTGCCTTGTAATATTACTTTATCAACTTGTCCTAAGTTCCGAGATCGTATTGCACGAGCAGCCCAAGATCACTATCATGGGAAGCGCGTTGCAAAACGTGTTCTAGTCGATGTTCGTAGATGCTCTGTTTGTCTATGCGCATGTTTTGTGCCGACCACTCGCAAGTTCTGTTGAGATCGTCTTGCTATGCTATGTGGTCGTTCACACGTTTGATTGCCCGCCAAAACTTGCACTAGTCCACAAACTTTGGCATTACGCTCTCGCGAGGTTGTTTATGCGCACTAAAAATAACCGTGATCCTAATACCGAGCCTTGAATGACGCCACAGCGAATCTGTCGGGTCGGACAGGACGCTACGAACCTGCACATTCAAGCGTCCGTGAAGTATGAATGAATGTATCCAGCCCAAGAAAGGGTCGCCGACTCCGTAGTTATGAATTTTTTAAACAAGGTTGCGGTGATACAGTTGGTCAAATACCTTTGAGAAACCAAGGTAGGCGGCGTTGACTCCTTCCCCAGCATCAACAGATTCCGTCCATTTGGCACGACCTAAAAATGCTTGCGGTACATAAACAGTTATGGCGGAATCCAGCTGCTCCTGCATTTTAATGTTACACCTTTCTAAATATCCCATGGGTTCTTCTGCATTAGGTTGCTTCCATTAGCCAATATTCTGGCAATCAAAATGTTTATAACTATATCATGTATATTTCTACGCCGTTCCCGTTTACACTTATCAAAACCGCATTCGTGTTTACCTGATGTTCGGCGTACGTATGTCTCGCTTCTCACCCCTAAACGAGGCGGAGCTCTCCTTCCTTTGTTTAGTCACTGCACTTACAGTTGGTGTATCACCTGCATCTGACGGCATTACCGAGTGAATCCACCTTATCTTAATAAATTACACACCGAAATTCAGCCCAGTTTTATTCCGTACACTACATATAATATCTGCAACCGGATACTTTAGTTGCATTTATTCCGCGGCCAAATGATCTACTACTCTGACATCAGCTACCGCTCTGATTTCAGTTCACCTATTTATCGTGTGTCCGCTTCTCTCTCTCTGGCTCTTCACAGATGTCCAATCATTCTCATCTCTATCAGTTCGACGGGCATTGATTTTCAAGAACTAGACGCCCGTGCTGCTTTGTCATATACAGTTACAATGCGATTTTATGCTACCTACGTGTTTACACAACCTATCGTTTGCATTTCATTTAGCTGGAGCACATTGCTCATCACAACCATTCTATCACCGTACAACGCAAGCCTGTTTATGCTTATCGGCTAGCGACTGACGTTGTTTTTTTAAATTATAACATTGGTCTTCTCCAAGGTACGTGCAATTTATGCTCCACTTTCGTTCTACTCCCTTGTTTGTTTAGCACGAATGGTCCGGTATTCATTTGCTGTGCCTTGGCGGGTTGACCTATGTCTTAGGTATCGTTTTCTTCAAAATGGACGGTCGAATTCCAATGGCACATGCGATATGGCATTGCTTTGTGTTCGTCGGTGCTGGACTGCATTTTTGCGCTGTCGACCGTTTTCTTCTCGTCCACTGACACAATATGTTGCATTTCTCACACCGTACTAGCTAGCCTATCATCGTACCCGCGGCCGGTCTTCCAGCACTCATGCATAACATTCAGGACTAGATTTTCACAATTAGTTGTTTGGTTTTTGTCTTTTAACATTATGTTATTTTTCGAGCTTACTTTTTGAGATCTCGTGTAGCTTTCTAGCATCCTTTTACGTTCGAGTCATGGGCGGTTTTTGTTTTCGCTCTTTCTTTGTTGCATGACATGTCTATCACTTGAAGTGACCGCACTCCTCCGCACTGTGTTTCCTCGTCTTTTCTCGTTTTACTGGTACTGTTCTGTTGCTGACACAACCCCTGACTACCTCGACCTTTGCTTCTACCTGACCCAATTTTTCCCACCGTCATCTTTGTTTCTTTCGCTGTCATAGAAGAAGGGAAGATGTCCTTCTAATGAAAACAATCACCGCCCTTACTTATTACTTCACAACTTTTACATTTAGAACCGGCGAGTCCAACCCTATCGAGGGGCTTGATAGCTTACGCATCTGATGCCTGGTCAGTAGAGCAGTTTGATTAAAGCGGTCGATATGGATTCTAGGCACTAGTAAAAACACACAGGGTAATCGTTGACCGCTGGGTAGGGGATAAATTAACACTTGGATCTGGATGGCTTCCTCAGTTTCCGGCGATCCCAGTCATTGTGACTGCGCATGACACCCTATACTTCACCACTCTTAGAGGATCGACTGTCCACACTAAGGGAAGCGCCGTATACATTCTTTGGCTGATATCTGTTACCGAGAATTGACTAGGAGGCTCAGTGACACATGGATAAGGTTTATTGACAAGGAATCCAACAGTCTCGTGTAGTGGCTAACGTGACACCGGTTGAACGCCAGGGACAGACAACTGCGTGGTGTGCGCTGAATTAATTGTTGGCGTCACTAGTGTAATCTTCGTTCGCTATTCAAACCAATGGTTTTCACACGTTCCTAAGATTTCTCACCGATCGCCTAAGTACACAATAGAATCGTAACTTTGTTAGGATTACATACAACCAGCTCAGTCATTCGAGAATGCTGTAATCCGCATGTCATCCGGTGTAGATCCACAGGGGCGATGAGGCTGAGTTGCATGCTTGGGGCTGAATTTGTTTCCGCATTTTCTTACTTACCGTAAACACTCACATCACTTTTGTAGAACTGTGAGGAAGTTTATGTCCTAGAAGCATGCAGATCATTAGCTCTTCCCAATCCATTTACCTGGTAGGTCATCCTTTAAGCGTAATTGTGCCATGAATATAGGGTACACCACCATTCTGAACAACGGTTAGTGGTCTCCTGGACTTCTTACTCTAGATCGCCTTAACGGGCACATCGATTACTTACAGACCCTATATATCCATTTTGTTGAACGGACACAATTGGCAGTCATTAAGGTATAACTCGATCGAACCTACATGATGTAATATGTGCCTCGGTACCTGCTCAATAGTAGTCACATCGCTGTGATCTTTACTCGGTACAGAGTGGTTACATTTGTACTGGAACCTAAAAGCCTAGTGTCGTGAGAAATTCAAGAGCACACACCACTGGAACCATTGAAACAGTGGTCTATCTCACAACTTTCTCTTTTCAACGGCAAACGGCTTAAGCAGTAGAAGCATTTCGTTTAAAAATACAGCGGGACCAACCCGCAAAACGCCTGCATACATACTGTTCATATAGTTCCACGAACAATGACACCTTTTGCCAGCTGGTGTTCCCACTTTGACTCAATTAAACGAAAGCGATGAACTCACCATATGGCACGCGAACATCAGCCAACCACTGGAGCCATGCGAATGTGCAATGCGTCCTGTGGCGTACAAATCACCATCGCCAGTCAGATGTTCCCACGCCCAGCATTGACTGTATGCGTGAAGGTCTGTCTATCGCTCACTCACTCATTAGCGAGTTGTTTTCAAGTACATGATCGATGCGCTATGGCTCTTGTCACAATACAGCTTGGTGTATTCTGTTACTTCTGCGTCGTTTCACCTACGAGCAAACGATGCGTTCGCAAATCCTGCGTTAGTTCAGCACGCGTAAGATCTAACAATGGTGACCGACTTTATATCTGCATTTATTCGTTGTGAGTCACCTAATTCCGCCTGATCCGTTTGGAACAAAACAACTTCAAAGCTATACCATGAGGCTTGGACTGGGTGGAAGCGCACATTCTGCGGCTATACTGAACTCTTCAGAGTTACAAATCCTCACGTCAGTATTACTAAGCATCAATCCGTTAAATTCTTTAGACAACCCTTGAGCTCATAGACATTTCGACACACTACGGTTGTACGAAAACATTTCGCAGTCAGACTGTCTGAAAGCGCTGAATGGGCTTTGTGGCCTACGACAAAATCTGTTTACTGCACTTAATTTTCCCCATTTGCAGCAGTGTTGTTGCGGTTCGCCTGCGGTATTTCTGCCTACGGTCCGCTCTGCCTGGTGTCCATTCCAACCGCGGAAACCGAAAGTTAGCGCTTGGTAAGCGGGTATATTCTATAGGAATAGACGATTATATTTAGTAGTCAACCGTACATTCTACCTATGGCAATTACGATCATCTGATCTCCGGCGTCCTGGCCTCAACCAATGTGAACGCGTTCCCCTGGCCTGTTTTCTCATATTTAACCGTTTCTTCTCGTCAAGGCACGGCCCTCGATCACTCAGCTGAGTTTGCCAGCCAGTCACATCGCACCTCTGTTCCATATTTGACCGGCTATACGCGCAACACTGTACGATTTCTATCACATGAGTTCGCCAGCGACTCATGTCGCCCCTGGATTTCGTAGTTTGTGAGCCCACCGCGCGTCTGGCGTGAAGCCCGTTAGCACAGCCCGATGCCGTAACGTCATTCAAGGGTATTCGCTCCGTTTTTCCACTTGTACGCAGGGAAGAGAAGAATGTGTTAACGAATTTATAACCCGTGTACAGCACTCCCTAAATTATTGCTGTTATGCTGAGATTCCGTCCACGAAAGTGGTAGTATTCATGGCCTTCCAATGTCTGCTATTTGGCATTCGCGACAACAAGGCCAGAGAACGCCTACTCTCCGCAGATGAAAGCAAGCTTACTTGTGAAGTTGCATTTGCGTGAGTAAGGTCGAGAGCAAATGTGGTTCGACAATTAATTCAATCCCAAAACGATCACTCTTCTGACGTAATCCACGCGGTAAAGCTTCGATTATCACAGAACACTGAGCACTACTCAGTGTGTTTTCGATGTGGCTAAAGACACGAAAGAGCGACTTCTTGTAGACGCAAGCAATTCGCTTGCCACAAGCTCAGCAATCTTGCTGTTGTTTACCGCTCAACAGTGCTTCCACATCTTGTAGCTTATCCTCCACCAAATGCTGCCCGAACAGTGCAGAATTCCAATGAACCCATGTCTTACTTAATTTCACATGCTGTCACATCGCGTGTGTGCGGTATACTTCCGTACGTTGTAGCTTTGGAGATTGAAGGCCAGTCGGTTCACTTTGAAGTTGATACCGGGGCCTCAGTTATGTTAATCCAAAATCGTACACTGCCCATCCTGCTCCTGTTTCTGACCCAGTCTTCTGTACGTTCTTACACTGGTAAATCACTTGATTTACTGGGGATGTGTAATGTAGATGTCATTTGTGAAGCCGACACTTTGTCACTTCCATTAACTTTTGTTGACACTGATGGCTCAGATTTTATTTGCGGAAACGTACTCAACCATGTGCCGGAACTACCTACAGTCGTCAAATGAGTTGGCCATATACCAAACGTTCGCCCGTACACCACCCATCTAGGACCCCGCTGATTGTTACAGTACAAAACCCTGATGGCACAATCCATATTTGTGATGACCATGAACTATCCTCTAATCAAGCGGTGACATCAGAATACTACCCTGTTCGGCAGATTGTATACCGATACACAACTATGTCCGGTGGCTAAAAGTTTTCCAAACTTAATTTAAGCCACGCTTACTCAAGTGGAGCTGCGTGAATCCGCCAGGGAGCTAACAACCATCAATACGCACATGGGTCTGTTCTACTACGATAGATTGTCACTCGGATTACATTCGACACCGGAGATATTTCAAAAAATTATTGTCAATTTGCTGAAAGAATGACCGGGTGTATACACTTACCTAGATGGCATTAATGCCATATTACTGGCCATACTGATCGCGAACGCATGAGACGCCATTCGCGAGGTTTTTGAAACGCCTTCCAATGGATCAATGGTATATTACCGCTAAAAAGCAAACGCTTAACTAGTTCCGTAGGATGGCCAGCATGAGAACCATAAATTGTGATAACAATGATGAAATGAAAATTGTTTTGGTGGACCCACCGTTATCCACACAGAGACATGCATAAAAGAGCCAGCCCCGGTTGTGTAAGTTAGTACTGGTTGTGCAACGTTAGTCGCTTTATATGATCTGCCGATGTACACAGGCTGCATCTCGTAATGTTACTGGGTCATGGCAACGTCAAGGCGCTTTTTAAACACATAAAATGGGAGCGGAAACAAATTAATTTGGGAGGGCATTCCATGATTGACACACACGAAGTGGGTGAAAGTTTCGCCGACATTTTAGCCGACTGCATTGCACGATCAACTTGAGCTGATGTTCCCTCAAATTCGTGTTGGGACTGAGTTGGTGGCAGCAGACAATAGGATTCCTTAAAATTTGATGAACCATAATTGGGTTGTCACCTTAGCACCGATACTGACTACTGTAGAATCTGAGTCCTCAGCCTAAGTTGATATGGAAGGTTAAACAACCCTTTGACGTGCTTGGTGGCTCTTTACTACGGTTTGCTAGTGCTGCGGGATCTTTCTTTTGCCAGGGCTGCAGGCCTGGATTGCGTATTTTATAAGAGGTCGCACGTATGTGTTAAGCAGCTGCCGACAAACAGATGGATCAAACCGCCAGAATGTCCTCCGCAGCGTACCAACGTGTTGATTCCTGGTCTTTGACTACTTCTCATTGTTCTGAACAGCCCAAAGCAGCCTGGATTAACACCCCAAGGTTGTGCTCCTAGAAGACTGCTTGCAAGATGGTTTCCAAGCTTGTGTAGGATGTTTGGCTGTTGACGAATGTGAATCACCTTAAAATTAGACGGATTAATCTGGTCGGCGATCCCCCGCCACGTCTTAACATCATCAGCTAAAATCAAGTTCCGAGGCAATCAAACATGTAAGCGCACTAATCAACACTAGCAACAGACGCGGCCCCAGAACTGATCCTTGTGAAACTCCACATTTGACATGATTCGAATCGAACAACCACTTCGAACTCCGATCTGCAGTCGTCGATTCTGCAGGAAATTCCTGATCCATCCAAGGATAGGATCCCCAAGTCCATAGATTTCGAGCCTGTGAAGCAGAGTGCGACGGTCCAGTCGGTCGAAGACTTTGGACTGGTCGAGGTAAATGACATCTGTCCCTCTA